GGGTTAGGCATTTGATTCCTTTTTATGTGAACCTCTTCATATTACCTGAACTTCTAGGTTTATGAGAAATCATACCAGAGTTCTGATTGGCAGGTATTAAAGTGCCTGTGATACAAGATTTACTGGTACAACCATTTGGATAATTCACTGAGTTATGCAAGGTATAAAAGCAATTAGACTTGAATATCTGCAGTTCAATGGGTAGATTTGAAGTAGATGGTACGGTTTGGGGTGCCATGAGCACACAGACATTATGTTAGTTACTTTTCCCGTTGCTGTGACAAAATTTTTGGTAAGAAGAAACTTGTGGGATGAAGGATTTATTTTGAATTACTGTTCAAGGACATACAATTCACCATGGCAGGAGAAGTACAGAGGCAGGGAGCTATGGGTCATGTTCCATTTGCAGTTTGGAAGAACAGAGTGAACAGGAAGTTGGACTGGGTCATAAAACCTGAATGCCCACCCCTAGTGACACACTTCCTCTAGCAAGTCTCCATCTCCTTGAGGTTCCAGAGACTTCCCAGAAAGCGTCATCAGTATAGGAGACTGAAGACTAAGTGTTCAAACACATAAACCTACAGAGAACACATCACATTCAAACCACAAGAGATGATGTTTAAAGCGCCAGACCTAGAGGAGTCCATCTATGAGATGTGTTTTGAAGAAAGTGATGGGCAGAAAATTGGGAATGTTATGAGTATTCGTCATTAACAAACAGCTGTCAAGATATGCCCAGAGACAGAGGAAGAGCATAGTTATGGCTATTAGAAGGCAAAGCAAGGAACTATGTAAAACACGGCAGAGGATTCCATCAAAACAGGGGTTAAAAACCTAATGCTCCATAACAAAGGTGATCGGAAAGGATTAGTTGGTGAAAAAGTGTTTAAATCCAGTGAATTGGAAAAATGGATAGATAGAAAAGACCATCAACGGAGCGGCTGTGAGCAAGCATGGAGGTTGCAGAAGGAGGAAGCACAGAGGAGCACGAATGGTCTCTGCATTAATGAGGGGAAGAGCTAAGCTTTGGAGACAATTAGAAAAGGAGAAGGATGTAAAAAGAAGAGAGGACTGCATTTACTTCTTCAGCATCTTTGGGATTTTATACTCGAAACACATTGAGCTAAGATCAGGTTACTTTATTTGCATATGATTTAAGGCTATAATTCATCACAGATCATGCCATAATTTGACTTAGTTTATCACCTGAAATATGCTATGTGGAATGAAATTGGGTAACTACCTAATGAAAAGATACACAGTTAATCCATTGACACCATCCCATAAAAAATGAATGGATTATCACCATATGTTTATATTATGAACTTATTTACATAATATATGATCCAAGTTATTATCTCATTAGTGCAGCAGAATATAGAATGTGTGTTTAAAATGATGATTGCGTTTTTTTCATTGAAAGCCTTGTCCTGATTAGTGCTCAGATCCCAAAATATCTATCAATCTAATATTGGCACATCTACTTAGAGACTCTGCATTAATCTTTGTTTATTTTGCTATTTTATATGAAAATTGAAATTCAGCCTTCCTTTTCTACATTCAAAGCACATTTTTATTCAGCTTAGTTTACTCTTATATTATGCGTGCATTTATGGGGTTTAATAAATTCCATTGTTTGAATAATTATATATATGCTAAAAAGCAGTAGATGGCATGAGAGATAGCCCAGCAAGATTTTTATTTAGGGCTTCCAAAGCTAGCTTTATAATAAATATGTAAATAACAATGCTATGAATTTGAATCAATATTGTTCAGTGTTTTACATGAAGATAATAACATTGAACATTTGACTGACAGCCTATTCTTGCACACTGAAAACCCAATGACCCTCACCTGCCAAGCCTGGGATCTAGATTAAAGCAGGAAAGAAAATGCTCAAAAGAATAATAACTACAAACAGAAATTTTCAAAGGGAAACTAAACTGTGAATGACAATACACCCAGAGCGGTGTTAATTAGTCTGCACTCAGTATACTTTAATGAGAGTAATAGAGGCAGAATGGCAGATACATGAAAAAAACAGATGACATATCATGATCCAAGTGAATGGAGACAGATGAAGATGACTAAATATCAGAAAATTTCAATTTGTTGAGGTTTAGTAAAACAAATGGAAATAAGTTAAATAGTATGAAGAGCACCAGAGCAGAGGGAAACCAGGATGTTCATACTGCAAAGCTTGTAGGAGGAATGAGAGATACGGGGATTTTCTGCAGATACACAGGGTTTTCATACTTATCCAGTGGTTAACGCTTTATACACAACATGTTTTAAGCAGAAAATTGATATTTTGATAGAAGAAAGCAGACATGTTATTGGATTTCTTTGTAGAGGAGAAGGGTAAGAGAAAGGATCCAGCACTGTCCATCTGATGATAGCTCACCAACGACTCCACCATCTGATGAGAGCTCACCAATAGTTCCCTACAGTGCTACATCGATCCCCCCTGAGGAACTCATAGAGTTCCTGGAAAAAATACTCATTGGGAAGCAAAGCATGGAAAGAGCGTAGGACTGAAGTGCCTTAACAGAAAAGATTACATAAACGTCTTAGAAAAGTTTCTATGCATGAGTTAAGTTTAAGCACTTGCCTTTCAAATTCAGTTTGCCTATGTTTTCCTGAATAAGAATTAAAGTCTGTGTGCAGTTTCAGCAGCAAACTGGAAGGCAGAATTGGAGATTTGAAATCTAAAACACTTGAATTTTTTTTCAGTGAAGTATAAATTATTTGAACCAGGGGCTGGGCATTAGTTATGTGGTGCAGTATGGACTTACTATGGTTGAAGGCCTGCGTTCAGTGTCCAGCACCAGAAAAGCAAAACTGAACAAACTAAAGAAGTGAATTGAACCAGATCATTCACCAAGTAAAGTGGGATGAAAATTCACATGAAAATCAGAAGAGCAAGAAAATCTGAAGACATGAAGGAACTGAGTAACCCCAGGCTGCCCTGTTCACACAAACACAACTGGAGCATTGGTGGTACACTTAAGAAGTTGGGATCTGACCCATAACATTATTTACATGATCAGCCAAAGTACAGAAACTGAACTGTATGAAAGCTGAAGGTGCCATTGATTTAACTATGACAACTCTATACCTTGTTAAAAAATTACAGTCAGTCATGCTGTTAGAACCTGCCTTCCAGACTGGTCAGTCTGCTCAAGGGGCTAATTCTAGTTCCTAGGGGTGTACAAAATTAGAGTTCGGTGTTCTTTGATGGGCTTATTTACAAAACTTCCTACAGTAGCAATTAAAACAAATGTTATTTACTGTGTGGAACTTGAATATGACATTTCTTGGCTTTAAATCAGCTGAGGTATTTTTATTCTCTTTTTTTAATAATAGAAATAATTAAACTAGAATTATGCATAGAAACCAAAGTCTTAAAATATGCTGCTGACTAATTGCTTCATGTGTCCTCATAGGTTTATAAACTCATTTAATTCTTGCTATAGTATGTATTCATTGTTTATACAAATAAGATAAAATATTTTGCTCTAGATTGTCTGGCTAAGTAGTAACAATGCTAAGATTTAAGCTTTACAAAGTCTGCAATTTTCCCCTTATATCTTTATGTCAGTTCCGTCTTGGACTTTTCCACTTTAATATAGCCTCTGGTCCTTTAGTAAGACATAAAGTTTTCAAACACATATCCAATGCACATCATGTAAAGATGACTAACAACATTTATTTCTGCGCACTTTATTCCCTCCTGTTATATTATAGCACTTATGCTCTGTCCCCTATGCCAACAACAAAGAAACATCTCATTGTTTCATTAAACCTTATTTAGTTACATATCATACTTTCCATAACCCCTGATACAATACAGCATAGACAAAAATGCTATTTTTCCAAGTCTTTTAATGTCTTAATGAAATTTTCTTCACTTAATAAACTACTCCCAAGATGAATACCTGTAGGTATCCAATACTCCTTAGTTTCTTAAGAAATTTAGCAATTAAAATTAGTAACTAAATCCCCAAATATAGACTTTTCATAGTGATAAACATTTCTTTGGCTCGCTGTATAACCTGAAGAGAAAAAGAACTATTAGCCTTACAAGAATTTACCAATCTTGCTTTACTATAAAAATCCAAAAATAGACAGGTCCTATTGTAGATCTGTGGCTTTTAAAATGTGAAGTTAGAAAAAGTCACCCAAGTTTGGTCCATAAATCAGCCATGGCAAGAATGAGCTAAACATCTCTGAAGGAGAATACAGATTCTTCACTTTCTGATCTCACCTCATTGTCCATTTAAGAACTGGGAAGATAAGGAAGAAACAGCCTCTTCCTTCAAGCATACTTGTTTGAGGGAGTTTAGGAATTATTTTGTCTTGGCTGATAGTTACACAACTGATCCCAATTCACCAAGCTGCTTGTATATCCTAAAATGATTTTTTCCTCAAAAACAATTTGTATTTTTATGCATAATTCAAGCCGACTCTGAGGTTGTGATTTTAAAAAATGAAATTAATACATAAAAAATGTACAAGTAAAAAGTTAACAGTGTGGTTGTTATGAAATGCAGTCTAATTTAAGAATAGAAGAGATCAGCAAATTGCTTAGGATACAGGAGATTTAAGTGTATCTTCAATCATACTGAAATGTCAGAATTGTATTATTACATTTTTCAGTCAAGAACAAATACAGAGAAAAATTGGGATCTTTCATACTTAAAAGCATCTTGCATAGGTTTGCAGTGTTTTAGAGGGCTATATATTACTTTATTTTCATAAAATTTCCATTTAATTCAAATTGGCTTCTTAATGCAAGACTTAAAGCACCTTGCTTGCTGTGAATGCAGGTTCAAGAATTTATTAATTGACTGGACAATCAATTGTATAATCCACTGTGCTCTGTCATATATGGCTAATGTATCAGCAATTCAATGTTTTAACTTCATAGTCTGTAAACAGCAAGTGGAGACTTTTTGAGTGTGGTAATAATAGTGACTGTTTCCTCTGTCTTTTTCCAGTCTGTTCCCAGTATTCGAGAGGAGTGTTTGCCATTTTTGGACTCTATGACAAGAGGTCAGTGCATACCTTGACCTCGTTCTGCAGCGCTTTACACATCTCTCTCATCACACCAAGCTTTCCTACTGAAGGGGAAAGCCAGTTTGTGCTTCAGCTAAGGCCTTCATTAAGAGGTGCATTACTGAGTCTGCTGGACCACTACGAATGGAACTGTTTTGTCTTCCTGTATGATACAGACAGGGGTAAGTCCTAGTTCTTCATCTACATCAAGAAACCTTTACCTTTCATAGGAAATGCATCTGTGTGATTTGTGTGACTTAGAAAGCAAAACTTTGATCCTTAGCATGGCTAAAACTGAAGAATACTTGAGGTATATTGCCAGTATTTCTTTTTCTTTATTTTGATACCAGGGAGAAGTTTCTAATTTAAAAACTTCTAATTCATAATGTTCCATACGAGCAAACCAGGTTCTGCAATTTTGTTGAAATTGTGCGGTAGGAAAAAAGGCAAGGTACCCTTATAACCAACCCCCGAACTATGATTTCTGGTCACCAGACTATGTAGATATGTGTTTCACTAAATTCTTCCCTTTTTGCTGGGAGAAAAGTCCCCACTCAGGGTCTCCTGGTCCTGACACAGATTAACAAACTGACATAAGGCATCCCATTTGGATTTTGCAAGGTTTATATGACATTTGGGAGGGGGTGATGTAAAAATACATAGATTTTTGCAGGCTTTTCCTTTTCCATATTTGAAATGCACACTATCCACCTCCTGCCCACAGTCTTTCTTGCTCACTGTTTGCCCGTGCTCAATATGGAGGTGGGTCCACCCCTTTTTCCCAGGTGCTCCACAGCCCATGCTCACCCTGGATCAACTCCAGCTTTTCAGAGGAGCTTTGGGATTACAATATGCCTACACACACAACAAACAAATAATTCTCTTGCTAATTGTCCAGAGGTCACCTGCTGAATGTTCACCTGGTCAGTTCAGATCCATAGCTGTCTACCTAGAGAATGCTAAAGATGTCACAGGTTGAAGTTTCACATAACCACTCACCTCTGATGTTAACCACAAGCTATAAGTTGTTTTGTCTGTGCTTCTGACTGACTGGCTTTCAGCACATATATATTATGGCAGGATTTGCCTGACTGCCTTGCTTGGTTCTATTGATTAACCAAATCAACTCACAGAATTCAGGATGATTTTGCTATTTTATTATGTACTGTAACATTATATAATTGTTCCAAGGAGAGAGATGTTTGGCGAAGTAAGGGGCAAAAGAATTCTCCTTTAGCTTGTTCTGGCTTGCTTTCTTTGGTTTGTTTCATTTCTTGTTAGCATTGTATTTGCAGGAGCGTATTCTACTATTGCATAACGCATTTTCAGAAACCTAGGAAAGGAAATGGTGTTATGAATGGTATATAAATGTGCTGCTATCTCGGGAGAAAGTCAGTGCAAGAGATGGAGATGAGACAGATGGAGGACTTTGTGTGGGGAGGGGGTACCATTTAATTTGTACTTTAGAGGCTTTACTGTGTACATGTTTTTATTTTTAAACTACCTTTAAATTCTTTCCAAAGCTGTCAAGATTTAAGTAACAAAAAAGGGAATAACTTAAGAGGAAGAGGCATAAAACCTCTATACTTTAATTAATAAATAATACAGAATGAACCAGTAGACAACCCTAAGGAGCTAAACATGAACATCAGCTCATGCCAAAGTGAAATTACTGATGCCAGTTCCTTCTCTTGCTCCTTCTTTCAGTTGGGAATGGAATGGCTTAGGTAGGTCAAAGGTCACCACATCTGTAAAGTGGTCCTGTACCAATCCAGAGAAGAATGTTCATTATCTACATATCATAGATGCCATTCTCTTCCTCATCCTTTCCATCTTCAGTTATTAATTACCACACTTGTCAGCATTCTACCACTGACTGTGCTCCATTTTATAAATTACAAGCAAAATTAAGAGCAGCCTTTAAACACATAAAGTTAAGCAAATTAAGAACCTTTCAGAGGCTAACCAAGTATTATACCAGAAAGGATGAATAATTCATCTTTAACACTTTACTGAAGTATTTCCTACATGAGAAAACTTACTTCACAACCACAATGAAATAAAAATTTAAGTCTGAAAGTTTCCTCTCATGACTCCTCCACAAAACTCTCAAACATTTATCTTTGTTGTAATGAACTCATCAGGACTTGGAATATATTTTTATAATTAATCCAAATACATTTCCTTATAAACTTTGACTATATCTATACACAAATATACACTTGCCAAGTATGAAAATAATCCATCCCGGCAGAAGGCAGACAGCTTTAAGTGTATCGTTTGAGCTTGTAACTCCACCTTCCCACTGGAAATGGGCAGCTGGACGGCAAAGAAAGATGAGGGTAAGAAACAGCCATGGAGAGTCATGTGGAGCTTCTCGTTTGTGGGGAAACAGTAATCAGAAACTGGCAAGGCAGCTTCATTCCCTTCCCAACAAGTTCTTTGGATGCTGTGATATTTACCTCCTGCCATTTGTAACCCTCAATTTCACAGGCTGGTATAAGTCGGGGGTAGGAAAGAGAGCAGTAGATTGGGAGGTAATTAGATGGGATGAAGCCCTGACAGCAAATTTCTCTGATGTAGAACAAGAGAAGGAGATGCATACCTTCCTGTTACCTTCTTCTGCTCCTGGTTAAGACTGAAGAATTCGCACTGAGAAAGGTCAGAAAGAATGTAAGAGGCAGAAGATACAGAGAGCGGCTGTGTGATGCCATCCGCTTAGCAAGACACAGCCAATGCAATTGAGAACTCACAGCGCCTACAGGCGCCTACACTGAATTCACAAAAGAATGGGCCCAACAACAGTCAGGAAGAGGGGGAAGAGGGAGTCAGAATGCCCTGACCCACTCCTGAACTGTTAATTACTGACAGATTCAAGGAGTTACCCCAACAGGTTCCAATGGACACTTCCAACCCATTGATCACTCAGGTGACTCCAGTTATACTGAGTGGGTCACAAAACAAATCCAAAGTCATGACCCTGGGGAAGGAAAAGGTAGGGGTAGAGATTGAATAGAATGAGGAGATAAGAGAGGTTAGCAGAGAGAGAGAAATCAGAATATGCTATGTTTATGTATGATATTGTCAAAGAACAAAATCATGAATGAAAAAAAATGAAGGATCTAACAGTAGAGGCTGGGAGTCAGCCTGAATGAGTCCACGGCTCAAGCAAGGATCACCAAACAAAGAATTGACTCAGCAAAGAATAATAAGCTATGGCCAGGACAGCCAAAGAGGAGAGAGAGCAAATAACAAAGCGATCTGGGTTGACAGAGTAGCAGAGTCCTGAGGATGGTCAGGTGCCTACAGATGATTTATGGCACAGAAAGCCTCCTAAAAGTTTGCATGAAGAGTTGCAGTGCCTGAAAGGGATGATGGGAAAAGTAAGCACATGATCCCCATGAAAGACTCTTCTGTGTCAGTTTGGTTGTTGACTGACAGATCAGCTGGGTGGCTGTTCTTTCCTGTTTTCTTCCTGCTCTCAGTACTCAGTCACTGAACAGAAGGTAAGAGTAAATAAATCTGAGTAGCCTTTGGGAGGTCTACATGGAAAGGTGATTGTTATGCAACCCATGGAAAATCAAAATTACAGCAAGCAAATTGCAAAGTGAGTGTACAGGAATCCAGAGTGGTTTTTTTCCATGTTGACTATTTTAATGCTTTTTTGAGATATTAAATTTGTGTAAGGACTCTTTTTCAATTTACTAGAGCTCTGGATATACATTAAAACTGTCCATTCATGGAGGCGCATGCATGCCTTTAATCCCATCCCTCTGGAGGTAGAGGCAGATAGATCAAGGCCAGCCTGGTCTACATAGTGAGCTCCAGGTCTGCTGGGACTACAGGGAGACCCTATCCAAAAATATCGAAAACAAAACCCTGTTAATGTTCATGGGCTGTTTGAGTTCTAAGAATGGAGATGTCCCTTAATAATCCTTAAATTGATAGAGTATGGCTATAAAGCTTTAGCAAGTTTTTATCTGGAAAGGGAAGAGCTGCTTAGGCTTTCTTGCCAATTTCATACTTTGAATGATCCATGATAAACATTCTAAAGCTTAAGGTTCCAAATGGCCAATGATTCTTTGACAAGTCTTTCATTAAAAAATGTTAAACCAGGCGTTCTAATCCCAGCACTTGGGAGACAGAGGGAGCAGATTTCTGTGTGTTAGAGGCCATCCTAGTCTACACAGAGTTCCAGGCCAGCCAGGGCTACCTAGAAAGACCTGTCTCAAAAAATTAAAAAGATAAAAATAAAGTTGCATCTGAAGATTTGAAGTTCTGGAGTAAAAGATCTTCCTTTTTAAGCAATGACTGAATACATTGCCTAAAGATAAAATGTAGTAGAAAGTCTATGTGAGAGGTAAGGGTTACTTAGCAATGTGCTTTGTACGCTATTCATTCTGTTATAACAGAAATGGCCTTGGGACTACAGAAATTCTCAATTTACTGTTTATTGTAATGAACAAGAATTGTTAAATGCACAGTTGAGGCTATAATACACCTGACAATTTTTGCATGTCCAAATAAAAGTTTTTAATCCTGCAGCCAGGATGTTGTCCGCCAAGGATGATCATAAGGCTGCATTGTTAGCTGCCTAGATACAAATTCTAGCTTTATCATTCATTAAGTTTGACCCTGAGCAAGTTTTCAAGTATTACTACATTTCAGTTGGTTTTCTAGTCTGAAAAAATAGAAAATAGAATTAAAAAGTAAATATGATCATCATTTTGAATATGAAAATGCTTATAAAGACATGACATAGGAACTACTGTTCAGTAGCTGTTATTCCTTTATTACCATCACTGTTACTAGTTCGGGGATCTTGTCATATCTGTTGCTTAAGGCACCCCAAATATTTATCATTTTAACACTCTTAATCATGAGTGAAAGGTATTCAGTATATAAAACTAAGTCATAAGACTTAGGTCTTTAAAACATATGGACATTTCTAGTATAAATGTTAAATTTGTAAAAAATAAATCAAAACATGAATTTTGATTTCTTACTCACCTTTACTTCATAGCTCTCCCTTGCTGTGACTGCTCTTAAAATACTAAGTCTCTCTTCAATCACTTTGTCCCTTCTGAAACATAAAATGTGTGAGTCATATTCCTAATTGGAATTATTTTGTGATGGTTCACTACCCTTCATATGAAGCCAACATTAAAGACTTATTAGCTCT